GAGGCCCTCGGACCAATGCACTAGTCCTCATGTGGCCCTCGTGATCATTTGAGTTTGAGACCCCTGAAATAGACTGTAGTGCAAAAAATAAATAAAAAGCATTAATGGATTGTCAGTCTTCCAAATGAAAAAAATGGAACACCTGGTATACATGTCTAACACAATCACTTGTCCCTTCCCCTAGAAACAGACTCTCAGTACTGCCAACCTGAAGCATTCAAAAATCATGAGTCAGGCCCCCAAATATCTAGTTTGTATTTAAAAAAAAAAAAGATTTTTTTAAAAAATAATAAATATCAGAGGAGGAGGGATTGTATTTACCTTTAGGTTGAGAGTCTTTAGGGTTCACATTTCCAAGCTTTTCTCTGTCAGACATGAAGGCTAAAAACTTTATTTTTAAATGAAAGCTGAGATTCTCATGACTCTTGGAGCTGGGTGTTTAAGTATCACAAGAGATGACATTACTATCTTTGTTCCGCAGTGTCCTGCTTGCCCCTGGGGTATGGATGAGGAGGAGTAGGAAAACAGATGTCTGCACAGGCTGGGTCACTAGAAGCCTGCACACCAATTGAACCACTGCCCAGAGTCAGAGCAAGCAACTCCATGTTAATCTGACCTTGTAGCAGTGGTCACATTCCACCCAACAGATGAATCTCACCGAGAGGGCTTATGGGTGATGGAGTGCAGAGCAACACCACAAGAGGCAGCACATGCCGGTTCTGGCAGCCTGATGTCAATTTCAACAGCTCAGCTTGTTGGCCAGGCTCCCAGGGTTCACACAAACCCCTGTCCCCTCCTCCTTAACCAGTACAATACTGTCAGCTTTGCAAAAAATAGGGACACCAGATAAAGGCAATGAAAACACAGCTATACGGTTTTCAGGGATTCATAGTCATCCTAATTAATTGTGAAATTAAATGTTTAACACACTTTCAGTTTTAATGAGGTGGTAACAGAGTTAAGGAAATTTACATTCAGAAACAGTTCTACTCTGAAAAATGACTTGGTAAACAATTACTAGGGTTTCCATGAAAAGCAACAGAGTCATGTGGCACCTTTAAGACTAACAGATGTATTGAAACATAAGCTTTCGTGGGTGAATGCCCACTTCGTCAGATGCTTCGTCAGGGTTTCCGTGTGTGTTGTAGTAATGGTTTAGTTTATAAATACAGAAATGTTTTTCGTAATTGCCACCTCTGCAAACTTGGCCTGGGATCCTACAGCAAACCAGGTTCTTACCTGCTCATGCACCCTCACCACTAATCAAGAGTCTTCAAGCTAAATACTCTCCTAAATATAACGATACAACTCTAGTGTCCTCCAACTGTGCAACACTGTTACAGTGAGATTACATAATTTCATTCCTTCTGAATTAGTGCAGTGAGTATTTGTAACTCAGTTTACAAAGGCATCTTTGGTAAAAAGCACAAAAGTGAAAACTCCAAGATATTAAAGTAACTCTTTTTACCTCACTATTTTTAATAAGTAACAGATTACGATGTTTTATGGGTAATTTACACCTAAATCAGAGGGATAGCTCAGTAGTTTGAGCATTGGCCTGCTAAACCCAGGGTTGTGAGTTCAATCCTTGAGGGGGCCGTTTAGGGAACAAGGATAAAAATTTGGGGATTGATCCTGCTTTGAACAGGGGATTGATCCTGCTTTGAACAGGGGATTGGACTAGATGACCTCCTGAGGTCCTTTCCAACCCTGATATTATATGAGTGTGCTTATATTTACACAAATGTGATAAAGTGGACTAGGCCCTGAGACCACCTTCTGGAGCCTTGTGGCCCTGCCAGACCCCGCCCCAGAAAAGGGAAGTGGAGAGAGTCCTCCAAGCAGCCTAGAGCAGTGGCATGGGACAGAGCCAGAGACGAGCTGCCGGAAGCAGCCAATCCAGGCCCAGCAGGCCCATATAAAAGGAGTTGCAGAGCAGAGATCAGTTCCTTGATGACAGAGCATGGATAGTGTGCCTGGCTGGCTGAGGGAGCTATGGGACCTTGGACAGAGAAGTTCTGGCAGAGACCCGGGGGAACGCAAAGGAGCTCCGGACTGGCTGCTGGGACTCAACAAGGACAAGGCCCAGAGATGAGGGTGAAGAATTAGCTGTGTCCATGGGGATGTGACCCAGACAATTGTAGCAGTAATGCAGCTTAACTAAAGGCATGCAGTGGATGGCTGCTATCTAGATGGTCCCTGGAATAGAGGGTGGGCCTGAGTCTCTTTCCCCCTCCCCCTGCAGCCACTAGGAAAGTGACCTGGACTTTGATGCACCCCAGAAGAGGAACTGAACTCGTTTAGTGGCCCAGCAGAAGAGTTGGGGCTAGAAAAGCCCAGAGAGGCAAAGAGTCTCTAGGGAGAGAACCCTGGTGGATGTGATGGCTGGGACTGCTTAAAGAACAGGGACAATTTGAGAGTGCCCAAAGGGGCTGAGAGACCGTTTGAACCAGGATACTGTAATATGCCCTGTTGGACTGATTGAGGATCAAGCCCAGGAACATGGCTGCAGATAGAGATTTAGAGAGCATTGAGATAGGCCCCCTGTTGTACTTATATCACAGAAGGGGTTTGATTTGTATTTCACATACAGACTCTGTGGGACTCGGCTCAGAGTCACCGAAGACTCATCACAAAGAGAGAGAGAGAGAGAGAGAGTGTGCAGGCACACACTGAGACAGGGGATGCTCATGAGAGGTGAGTGAGAGCCCGTTACAAGAAGTTACAGACAGAGGAACTGGAAACAGTTCCCACACTATGAAGCAATATTTGGAAACAGCTGTTTTTAACTGATAAGCAAGTATTGGGATGACAAATTTATTTAAATTAGAATGCAAATTTTGAGGTGATTGAATACTTGTTGATTTTTAAATCATTTTTAAAAATTACCAGAAACTGTGCCATCTTAAAGCTACTGTACCTCTCAGTTTAAGTGTTTGGATACAAATTAAAATTAAGATATAGTCCAAAACCTGCAAGGAGCAAAAACTCCACTTGAAAGAACCCTGATAATCCAAGCCTTTTCTTTCTGTAGTAATCCATGAACACTGTATCTAGGCCTACTTATGTCTATCATGACAGGCAATTCTATATGGAACTAAAACGCAGCTGTTTCCCCACTACCCACCCTAGGATAAAATGGCTACAAAGTAAACCGTGTCCCATAATTTATGCACATGAACAATTCTATTTCCTTTAGTGATAGTATAAATGATACACTGGCCATAACATTTATCTGAAAGAAGTGATATCCTTCTCAGGGAATGTTAAGACAAAAAAAAGTGTGAATAAAATACAGTATTCTTGATTGTCTTTGTTTTTTTAGAAAAGTGGATTTTTGCACCAATCTTCAATAGATATGCCTTTTACTGAAAACCTACTGGCATCAAATACGCCAAAAGTCCACAAAAAGTAAATGATATTTCTTTAATAGTTTTTATTAAAACTATATAATTATCTCTTATTATCTCTATATTTTAACAATTTGATCAATGCAATCAGAATTGTGCATATATTACACTATCCTGGCATACTTAATCTAACATCTGGAGAAAAGTCAATCCAAGCATTCCATATCTTATATTTTTATAGTAACTAATTCAGAGTTTGAAACACAAGTGTTATAAAGTTGCTCATGAAAACTAGGCAACTGGGATTTTCTTTTAAAAAGAGAAATTAAGCATTTGTTTGGAACAAAAGTTACTTTTCATTTTAAACCTGTTCACAAAAGCCCATGCATACAAAATCTGAGTCCTGTTAACCTTCAATATACTTTCACCAATAACATCTCTTCCACTCTAGTGATAGGAGTATGTAAAATACCATCTTTTGAAGGAGACACAATTTTTTTTTTAAGTCACAAGAACATACCAACACAATATACTTTAAAAGTTCTGTAATCTGGACACAAATTCTTGTGTCTTAAAATTGAAAAAGAAATACTGTCCAGAACAAACCTTGCTTTTGATTATTTGTGAGCATGTACATCTTCATCAGCATTTTGCCTTCACAATAACTGAGTGAGATGATCCTGTCCCTTGAGTTCAAATGTCCCACCACCCTGGACAAACTTGCCAGTAACCATCTTAATTTTCTAACACTAGAAATGGTCTGAAAAAGTCTTGTTAACAAAATATATGTTTAACATATGCATAATTCTGAGATCTTTACTTGACTAGTTTTTCCTGTTTTCCTTCATTTGGATGGTTTCTTCCAAATGTGGTTCTCAACATTTAGAAAGTACAATGGTTAATGAAGAAAGGTTAGCTTTGTACAGTGAGACAGTTCTTGGCATATTCTAAATGTGATAAATCACTCACTCTCCAACTGATGTACTGGAAGGGGACAAATTTTTGAATAAAAATGGATGCAAGGAAATTCAAATTCCATTTCTGGAAAAGTGTAGCACAGTTTAAGATAGGATTTCCAAGAGGATGTGTCAGTTGTTTTAAAACCCTTTAAAATGGAAAGTGCTACAGTTAACATAATCAACAACACAGCCTTATGTATACAGCCAACCTCCCTCTTAGCTGAGCTTCATAATCCTGAACTCCTGACAAATAAACCAAGCTCAATAAGTCTTATTATTTCTATTACAGTAGCACCTAGTGACGCAGCTAAGGTCAGGTCCCCACTGAGGTAAGCTCTATGCAAACATCAAATAAGAGATCATCCATTATTAGACAGAAAACTTTGCTGGGAATGTGTAGGTTAGTCTCTCTCCTTTGAAAGTGGATGACTTTGAGAAAAGGAGTATGTTGTAATGTGACATCTACAATTTCCCTAAGGACTTAAAAAATCTCACTTTGTACCAGACCAAGAGCCCTGATTAAAGAGCAACTATTCACAGTCCAGACATTATCAAAGGCAGGTTTCCCTTCGTGGAAGGGATAACAGGAGTTTCAGTGGAGGAAGACAGGTTACCTCCATCTTATGTATTACAATCACAAAATATGAATAAGGGGACCCATGGCAGAAGGGGCGTGGGCCCCGGTGTTTACCTGGCGGTGTTCAGCAGCGGGTGCTTGGTCCCAACCAACTTGCGGACCTGCATGGCGATGTTGCTCAGCTCGTCGCTCAGCAGACAGCGGAGGCTCATAAACGAGGTCGGATACCCCACGATCTTCTCAGCCTCGGACACCACTTTACTCCAGTGAGACGCAGCAGACGGGGAACCCGAGAACAGGCCCCTCCGCCACCGCACTCCGCCGCCTCCCCCCTGCGCAGACCACAGTCCGGGGGGCGGCGGCAGCAGCAGCCGGGAGCAGCTGCCCCTCCAACGCAACAACACCAGGGGACACATTATCCCAGCCCCTTAATAGACTCCCCCACCCCTGCGCTTCGCCCCCCAATAGCTTTCGCGCACCGCGCCCAGCCTAGCTGCGCTAATGCTGCCCAGCCCCCCGTTCTCCTGCCGCAGCCCCTCAGTGCCCCCGTGCCCGACTGTACCCCAACTGCTGTCACCGCCGCCAACAGGCTCCTCTCCAGGGGCGGCCGGATACGAAGCCACCCCCTGTGTCCAGCGCGCAGCGCCTGGCACCCGGGCCCTCAACCCCTGCGACCCGGGTCCCCTTCTCCCTGCCTGGGACGCGGGGCTGCCCGGCCCCACTCCCCAGCAGGGGCTATGCTACTGCTATCGCCGCTCCCCACGGGACATGCTCGCTCTGCCTCCACAGCCGGCAGCTCGGGCTGCTTGTGTCATGGGGGCAGCCATCTTAGCTGTCGCAAAACACAAGACGTAAAGCAACGACGATCATGGAATTAGAACCCTTCCCGCTTCCTCACTTTCCGGCTTCAGCTGGGAGGAGGGGCGGGGGGCGAGGGAGGGATTTGCTTCCAATCCACCCGTCCTGTCTCCGCTGCTTCCCGTATGGGGGAGGCTGCAGGATGAAACACCCAAGGCAGCCCCCTCATCCCAAAGAAGCCCGTCAGACCCCCAGTGACACCAACACCAGTCCCTCCCCAGAGACCCCGTCACACCCACAGTTACACCCCCACCAGCCCTTTCCCAAAGAGCCCATCGCACCCACAGTGACACCCCCACCAGCCCTTTCCCAAAGAGCCCATCGCACCCACAGTGACACCCCCACCAGTCCTTTCCCAAAGAGCCCATCGCACCCACAGTGACACCCCCAACAGTCCTTTCCCAAAGAGCCCGTCACCTCTAATGTCACCCCCTCCAGTCACTCCCCAGAGAGCTCGTCACACCCACAGGGATACCCCTCGAGTCCCTCCTCAGAGAGTCCATCACACCCACAGTGATACCTCCAGTACTTTCCCAGAGAGCCTGTTACACCCATAGTGATACCCCATACAGTCCCTGCCCAGAGAGCCCGTGACACACCCAGTGACACCCCCTCCAGCACCTCCCCAGAGAGCCCACCACACCCACAGTGACACCCCTGCCAGTACCTTCCCAGAGAGCCCATCACACCCCCCCTCCAGTCCCTTCCCAGAGAGCACATCACACCCACAGTGACACCCCACCAGTCCCTCTCCAGAGAGCCTGTCACACCCACAGTGATACCTTCTCCAGTCCCTCCGCAGAAAGCCTGTCACATCCGCAGTGACAGCCCCTCCAGTACCTTCCCAGAGAGCCTGTTACCCCCCCCCCCCCAGTGACACCCCCTCCAGGAGGAGGACCTTCTTGCAGAACCCCGACTACACAATCCATACCTTAACGTGCAGGTGGCAGAGCCCCCTGTTGTATGTCAGAGGTTGTTCCTGGTTGGAGCCACCAGAATCAGAGACCTCCTGGATTATGATTGGAGGATCTGGGTGGAGCCTGTGGCACTTGGCCAGCACATAGGTTTGTCCACCCCATGCATCCCCTGTCATGTGCCTCCTGTTTCTCTCACTTTCCTCAAGTGGGTCCTATGGGTGGGGCCTCCTCACCCACTGCTCATCCTTGGACCTCATCATTGGCCCCTGACCCATGAGCCTTCACAGTCATCCCCAGCTGACAACCTAAGTCAGCCATATCTGGGTGTTTTATTATGGGCACTGTAAAAGGCACTCCCAGACACCAAGGTAATCCATGTGCCAAATATCATGTATGGAGGTGCTAAATGTGACAGATATTGGAAATTCCTGCAATATCCTGGACAAACCTTATTGAATTAAGTTTAAGTATCTTAGGAGTTAATTGTATTTAAAATGCAAATGTTTATGTATTATTGTGGGATTGTATGTACCATCTCTAGGAGGTGATATGCCTGACATAAACTCTGGGAAGTGTTATGAGCCTCAAAGGACTATTTGAAAGAAAGGGCTGGAGAAGAATGGACTTTTAAAGTTAAATGGGTTTCCCAGGAAATCTCTGGAGGGAGTGTATGCAAATATACCCCCTCCAATTATGCAAGAACTCAGCCTTCTGAAGCTTCACTGAAGGAGAGGACATTTGTCTGCTGATCATCTCTTACACAAGGACAAGATCAGAGGCCCAAACTGTGTAAAGGAGTGACTGATAGATTCATGGGTGTGCTTGCTCTGAGCCATGGCAGTTATGAACTTGTAACCACAGAAAACCCCCTTAGCGGGACTTGAAGGACTGACTCCTATCAGACCCCTTGTTGGACTTGGGGAGATCTCTGGTAAGCTTATTAGTATATGGGTATGTTCTTTTTTTGTTTGTCTGTTTGTTTTAATATGTTTTCTCTGTAATGCTGTTACCTTAAGAATAAATGTGCTTGCTTAGAAAAAGCTGTGTGGCACCTTATAAACTAGGAGCAATTATGCTGTTTATAGCCCTTGAGAAGAAGGCAAATCCATCCTGCTTAGGCAGTCTAACTTGCTTGGGAGTTCACGGTATAGGCAGGGAACTGTGCAGCCTGGAAAAACCCTGGTCAGGAGGGAGAGACTTGCAATCTCTGCCCAAGAGAGTTGATGGCTGAGTAGCTGGGAGCTTAGGGTGGGTGCCTTTGCTAGACCACAGAGGGGGAATAGAGGTGTAGTTGCCCTGAACTGTGACATGAGAGCTTATCAATAAAATAGTTGTAAGATGTTTTTAACATGGGCAAAACAACATACACCTCTACCCCGATATAACGCTGTCCTCGGGAGCCAAATAATCTTACCGCGTTATAGGTGAAACCACGTTATATCAAACTTGCTTTGATCTGCCGGAGTGCGCAGCCCTGCCCCCCCGGAGCACTGCTTTACCACATTATATCCGAATTCGTGTTATATTTGGTCGCGTTATATCGGGGTAAAGGTGTATTTTCCCCTAACTTCATTCTGAGAAATAGCTGATGTTGTGAGATGCTACCGGTGTGGTGCTTCTGCTTTCTCCTGTTGAAATCACTCGGTTGCGTGCGTGTGTTCCCTCTGTGTGCTGCCCCAGCTCAGCGCAGATAGCTGACACAGCAAACCCGACGAGAACCCCCAATAACCACAGAGTCTAGTAAGATGCAAAATCACGTCGAGTAGGTTTATTGCGACCTCGGACACAATTGCAGTTCCCTGTAGGTTTCTGAGCCTAATTCAGGGCATACTACGAGAAAGTGCCTCTTGGCAAGGACCCGGCTCAGTGGCAGGACTTTCCACTGCCCCCGTGGCCGGATAAAGACACCACCCCAGGGATACATTTTTATACATGGGTACAAACAAGTTACACATCACTCCTGACGTATTAAGGTACAACCCCTTTACGTAGTAAGGTGCCGCCTCGTACCTTGTACATGTTGGTTCGATCAAAACAACTCTATCCATCATTTTACCCTTTTGCCCCTGTCATTGGGATGGGTCGGCCTGTTTCATGTTATCTGTGGAATGTTCCGATATAGTGTATCTTGGTACCATGTTTATACTTTAACTATGCGAGGTGAATATATATTTATGCAACATCAGCCCTTTTCTTGCCAGCTTCTGTGAGCAGGGCCTGCTTCTTGCTCACAGCCTAACTTTGCTTTATGTTAGCAAAGTCTTGACCATTACTTTAGTTTGGTTCAGGCCTCAGGCCTCATACTGGGCCTTCATTAGGGCCTTCACTTACTACAGCTGAATCACTATTGCTTAAATTAAAAAAATCAATCAATCAGAGTGAGGCAGACACCTGTCATGGAAAATTTCAACCCAAATGGCTAAAGTTTGACAAAGTTATAAGTAACTAAAAACACAGTCTTATAATGGAAAAGGATGGGCAACCTTACCTAGAGAGATCTTGACCTGCACCAACCTATGATTTAGAATTGTGCAGTCTCTCTCTCCAGAAACCATCAGAAACAAAAGATATGATTTCTTTACGGTATTTTAAGTTATTGTGGACAGCTAATTTACCTGCTAATTTGTCTCTTGCTAGTTCATTTCTCCTCAGGATTCCACAATAGCCACTTAGGCCTGGTCTACACTAGCAGGTTATGTCGAATTTAGCAGCGCTAAATCGAATTAACTCTGCACCCGACCACACAACAAAGCTATTTAGTTCGACAT